TTCCGGGCCGGGGGGGGGGGGGGAGGTCGGCCCCGGGGCAGGCACGCACTGGTTTCCCTCTGGGGGTGGGGAATCCTGGGAGGAGGCAGATACGGGGGACTCTCTGCCTCTACTGGTACTTCACTCCCCTGCCCCCACTCCCCAGCCACAGAACTCTGTCTCCACTCCCCTGGCCCCACTGCCCGAACTCAGTCCCCACTCTCCTGTCCCCAGCTACAGAACTCTGTCCCCACTCCCCTCCCCAAACGCAGTCCCCACTCCCCTGTCCCCAGCCACAGAATTCTGTTCCCACTCCCCTGTCCCCAGCCACAGAACTCTGTCTCTATTCTTGTCCCCACTGGCACCCTGTCCCCAGCTGCAGAAACCTGTCCCCACTGGCACTCTGTCCCCTGCTACAGAACCCTGTCCTCTGCCCTCCCAGCACCCTGTTCCCTCTTCCCTGCCCCCAGCCACAGACCTCTGTCCCCACAAAATGTATAATTATAAATGCTTCATTTTAGATTTAAATAGCATGAATAAAAAACAGACCATTTATTTCATAACTATAAACACGTGATTTTAACTTTATATATTGCATAATTTAAAAATAAACTGTTTATCAGAGTGTGTAAGTAAGGGCTGGGGATAGCAAGTGATGGACAGGAGGAGAATAGAGAGGGCGGGGCTTCAAGGAAGGGGCGGGACGGTAGATCTTCGCCTGTTCGGAGATTTAAAAAGTGATCTTGGGTGTAAAAAGGTTGGAGACCACTGCTATAAGGTGATTGAGTAGTTGAAATTTTCCCCCTTATTGTGTGGATTCTTTTGCATTTATCAACGCAGAAATCCATTTGCCATTGTGTTGCCCATTCTCCCAGTTAGTTTAGGTCTCAAGTTCCTCCCATTACTGCCATAGAGCAGTTTTTAAACTAAGAGATGGAGGAAAGCCGATTGGTGCGGAGATGCACGTAAATTGGAGGGAGACTTCTCTTAGAGGAGAATCCATTGATAGAGATTCTCTAAGCTGTAGTCAGAAAGAGAGGAGGGGAGAGGGCAAACCATGGGCCAGAGCAGACAAACAACCGCATACAAAGGAATCAAATGCATCAGGGAAGGGATATTGACATAATAGGCATCACTGAAACCTGGTGGAATGAGGAAAATCTGTGGGACACAATCATACCGGGATATAAAATATATAGAAAGGATAGAGCAGGCCGGGTGGGCACTGTATATGAAAGATAATGTAGAATCAAATGAAATAAAAATAGTAAGTGAACCAACATGTTCAACAGAATCGCTATGGATAGTAATTCCATGCTCCAATAATAAGAAATTAGCAGTAGGGATATATTACCGACCACCTGACCAGGACAGCGATACTGACATTGAAATGCTGAGGGAGATTAGAGAGGCTACCAAAATAGAGAACTCTATAATAATGGGGGATTTTAATTACCCCCATATTGACTGGATACATGTCACCTCAGGAAGAGAAGCGGAGATAAAATTTCTCAATGGCTTAAATGACTGCTTCTTGGAGCAGCTGGTGCAGGAACCCACAAGGGGAGAGGCAATTCTCGATTTAGTCCTGAGTGGAGTGCAGGATCAGGTCCAGGAAATAACCGTTACAGGACCGCTTGGGAATAGTGACCATAATATAATAACATTCAACATTCCTGTGGTGGGAAGAACACCTCAGCAGTCCAGCACCCTGGCATTTAATTTCAAAAAGGGGAATTACACAAAAATGAGGAGGTTAGTTAAACAGAAATTAAAAGGCACAGTGACTAGAGCCAAATCCCTGAAAGCTGCATGGAAACTTTTTAAAGACACCATAATAGAGGCCCAACTTAAATGTATACCCCAAATTAAAAAACATAGCAAGAGACCTAAAAAAGAGTCACCGTGGCTTAACCACCATGTAAAAGAAGCAGTGAGGGACAAAAAGGTATCTTTTAAGAAGTGGAAGTCCAATCCTAGTGAGATAAATAGAAAGGAACATAAACACTGTCAAATCAAGTGTAAAAATGTAATAAGAAAAGCAAAAAAAGATTTTGAGGAACAGCTAGCCAAAAACTCAAAAAGAAATAACAAAATGTTTTTTAAGTACATTAGAAGCAGGAAGCCTGCTAAAAAGCCTGTGGGTCCCCTAGATGATCGAGCTATAAAAGGAGCAATCAAGGACGATAAAGCCATTGCGGAGAAACTAAATGATTTCTTTGCTTCAGTCTTCACGGCTGAGGACGTTGGGGAGATTCCTGAATCTGCACCGTCCTTTGTGGGTGATGAATCTGAGGAACTGTCCCGGATTGAAGTGTCATTAGAGGAGGTTTTGGAACAAATAGAAAAACTTAATGTTAACAAATCTCCGGGACCGGATGGCATTCATCCAAGGGTTCTAAAAGAACTCAAATGGGAAATTGCTGAACTATTATCTGTGGTTTGTAACCTATCCTTTAAATCAGCTTCCGTACCTAATGACTGGAAGGTAGCCAACGTGACACCAATATTTAAAAAGGGCTCTAGAGGAGATCCTGGCAATTACAGACTGGTAAGTCTAACTTCAGTACCGGGCAAATTAGTCGAAACAATAGTAAAGAATAAAATTGTGAAGCATGTAGAAGAACATAAGTTAACAAACATGCGGACAGGGGGGATCCAGTAGATATAGTGTACTTAGCTTTTCAGAAAGCCTTTGACAAGGTCCCTCACCAAAGGCTCTTGTGTAAATTACATGGCCATGGGATAGGAGGGAAGGTCCTTTCTTGGATTGAGAACTGGTTAAAAGACAGGAAACAAAGGGTAGGAATAAATGGTAAATTTTCAGATTGGAGAGAGGTAACTAGTGGTGTCCCCCAGGGACCAATCCTTTTCAACTTATTCATAAATGATCTGGAGAAAGGGGTAAGCAGTGAGGTAGTAAAGTTTGCAGATGATACCAAACTGTTTAGGATAGTCAAGACAGAAGCAGACTGTGAGGGACTCCAAGAAGATCTCACCAAGCTGAGTGATTGGGCAATAAAATGGCAAATGAAATTTAATGTGGATAAGTGTAAAGTAATGCACAATGGGAAAAATAACCACAACTATACGTACAGTATGATGGGGGCTAATTTGGCTACAACAAATCAGGAAAGAGATCTTGGAGTTATCATTGACAGTTCTCTGAAAACTTCCACGCAGTGTGCAGTGACGGTCAAAAAGGCAAATAGGATGCTAGGAATTATTAGGAAAGGGATAGAAAATAAGACCCAGAATATCTTACTGCCCCTGTATAAAACTATGGTACGCCCACATCTTGAATACTGTATACAGATGTGCTCTCCTCACCTCAAAAAAGATATTTTGGCCTTGGAAAGGGTTCAGAAAAGGGCAACTAAAATGATTAGGGGTTTGGAATGGGTCCCATATGAGGAGAGGTTAAAGCAACTGGGACTTTTCAGTTTAGAAAAGAGGAGACTGAGGAGGGATATGATAGAGGTATATAAAATCAGGAGTGGTGTGGAGAGGGCCGATAAAGAAAAGTTCTTTATTAGTTCCCTAAGTAGAAGAACTAGAGGACACCAAATGAAATTAATGGGTAGCAGGTTTAAAACTAATAAAAGAAAGTTCTTCTTCACACAGCGCATAGTCAACTTGTGGAACTCCTTGTCAGAGGAGGCTAGGACTATAATAGAGTTTAAAGAGAAGCTAGATAATTTCCTGGAGGTTAGGTCCAAAAAAGGCTATTAGCCAGGGGATAAAATGGTGTCCCTGGCCTCTGTTTGTCAGAGGCTGGAGAGGGATGGCAGGAGACAAATAGCTTGATCATTGTCTTCGGTCTGTCCTCTCTGGGGCACCTGGATACTGGGCTAGATGGACCTTTGGTCTGACCCAGTACGGCCGTTCTTATGTTCTCTCTACCTAGACTAACTTAAATAATAGGATTACCTGCAAATCTGGCTACCTCACTGCTCATTCCCCTTTGCAGAGAAATGATAAATATATTAAACACTGCAATAACTATTACAGAATCTTGACTCACCTTGCTGTTAACCCTTTGCCAAAAGGGAATTTGATCATTTGTTTCTCCTCTGAGTTTCCCTTCACTTACCTGTTTTTAATACTTTGCCCCTTCACACAATAACTTTCTTTTTCCCCAGTAGCTTCGTGCGGCACCATATCCAATTCCTTTCAAAAGTCTAGGGTAATCTACCCTACAAGCACTTCTGCGGCACATCATTCAAGAAAATGAATGTTAAACCAGATACTACCATATTTATAAAATAATGATTTTAAACACATGAAAGAGTCACATGGTATGTCCTTTGTCTTGCCTCTCTATCATCTCACTCCAAGACTAAGGTCATAACACTAGACAACAATCTCTGATTTATTTAAGGTTTTGACTTATAAAAAGGAAAAGTTACACAGAGGGTGATCCCTTTGCACAATACATGCACACTTTTGACTTAGACAGATTTACACTGACTTTTTTCCCTTTTCAGGGCTCAGCAACAGCATGCACTTACCAGCCAGTCATGTTAAAGTCCCTGTAGAGCATCCTCTTCCCAACTTCCTTGCGCTGTACCCTCCTTGGAAACTCTAAATGAGTGAATTCGTTTCCCAGCAAGTGGGGCTGCATGAAAGCCTATGGGCAAAAAACGAGAAACCATACTCATTTCATACTAAAAAAATCATTCATATTGTATGAGATAGTCTCAAATTTGTATTCCTGTGTACGAATACTGTTTGCTAGGATCATCGCCTCTTTTTAAACAGTAAAAAATACATAAAAGCAGGAAGGGAATGACTATTTGGTGATTAGGGAGTATTGGATTAGATTTCTCCACTACTCTGTTTCTTAGAGGAGTGAGATCTCCGCCAAGTCTTCTATGTCTTCCCTACTTTTAACATACCAACATTTAGCAGCTTTATAGCACTAGTCACCCATTTAACTCAAGGCAGTTTGATAAGGCAGATAGAATCTTAGCCATGATGATAATGCCTGTCATGGGTATTTTTAGCAAAAGTCACAGACAGGTCATGGGCAAGAAACAGTGGCTACTGAGGCAAGGGCTGAGCGCTGCTACTCCAGCGCCCAACGCCAGCCACTGTTCCGGAAGGCCTGGAGCTGACCACCCATCAGCTGTTCTGGAAGTTGCTGCTCCAGCAGCCCTGCCCCAGAAGTAGTCATAACGATTCCTGAATGTCATGGAATCCATTACCTGCAGGATGGAATCGCAGCCTTAATTATCATCCCATTTTATAGCTGCTGAACTAGAGAGAGCGTGCGTGCACAGCCAGGCTCCTGCCCCCTAGTTCAGCACCAGCAACAATCTAGTGTTACCAACATACCATGGTACCTGTAGTCTTCATTCAGCTAGCCCGTTTCCATTTTTGTAGCACTTTAATTAATCGCTTTCCTTATTAAAAAACCAAAGCAGTTCTGACCTATTTTTCCCGCTAAAAACTTATACTAGTTCCTGACAAACTGCTGATAATAAACCAACCCTGGGTTATAAAATATTTTCTGTACTATGAGTATATCTGGTCCTGGAAGTGAATAATTATTCATGCTGCACAGATCCAACCACAGTATGGGGTAAGGACATTTACCAGAGCTGGTCAGAAAATGGAGTCTGCACCCCTGCTCAAATTTTCAGCCAACAACTGAAATATTTCCGTCCTGCTTCATGAAAGTTGTAGTTTGGGTGCTTCATTTTCCCATTTTCCATTATGTGCCAGGTTAAACTGCATCTTCCTAAATGATGCACCACGGTGTCAGTTCTTGGTGATAGAAGGCAGTATTGTGATGGAACTCATCATGGCAACTGCATGGTGGCAGTGCATTGTGGGAGTTTAAATTTGTTCAATGAGCCTGGCCCATAGAAATGAACTAGAGCATGAAGCACCACAATTGTAATTCCCATGAGGCACTGTGGTGGCATTTCAGAATCACAATACTTCTGTTTCCAGCCAAAATGTTTTGGCTTTCAGGAATTCAATTTAAAATAATCATTCTTTTGTGTGGAAATCAGAAACCCTTCACAGAAAATTTAATTTCAGTTAACCCCTCCCAATTTTCTGGCAGAAACAGCTTTGCTGAAATGTTTTTGGGCTGACCCTAACAATATTTACACAGCTCTGCTAATATTCCTCAGTTTTGATCTGATGCACTTGATCTATTGAGAGCCTCAGTCCCTTGACCAAAGACTGCTTGCTAATCTTTCTCTATATATACATTTTTCTTTCCTGTGGGATGACAAAGTGACATCACGTCGTCACTGGTGTCATCTCGCCCTCAGCTCCAGACAGCTCCAGATCCTTCCGCTGCAGTCTGCAGCCCCTCCTCGCACCACGCTACCACTGCTGCTGGCCAGACCATGCCCAGAATATGCACCCTTGCCTTTCCTGCT